ACTTTAAAAATATATCCAGAATATGACCACTGTTCACCACTTCCACCCATATCATCATGGTCCAAGTTACCACCATCTCATCATCTCTCAACAGAATTACTGGATTGCTTCCAAGATCACCTTCCTGATTCCTCCCTTGCCTCCTTACAGTCTCTTCTCAATAGAGCTATCAGATTGATCATATTAAAATGTATGTCAGATCATGCCACTCCTCTGCTCAAAATCCTCCAATGGGCTCCCAATCCACTTGAAGTCCCTGCAGTGGCCAATAATGCCCAACATAGTCTGCTTTCCCCCTCCTCCCACTTTTAACCTTCTGACCTTTTCTCCTACCCTTTTCCCCATGGCCCACTCACTTCTAGTATACTAGCAGTCTTGCTATTGTTGATCATGCCAAATACACTCACTTCAGAGCCTTTACCTTTGCTGTTTATGTTTCTTGGAATGCTCTCCCCTTCCTCCTAAACTCTTTCCGTAGTCGCCACTCTAACTCCTTCTCATCCCTCAGGTTGAAAATTAAATGTCACTGCCTCAGGAAGGTCTATTCACCTCTCCCTCCACCCTGTCACATTATCCTCTTCTGTTTCCTTTATAGCACTTAGTAAGCTTATAAATATATATGCATTTGCTTTGTTTCTTGATATTACCTACCTTCTCCCGTAGATTAAAATTTATGACGCCAGGGACCACATTGGTTTCAACCAATTTTCACTGCATTACTTATTAGTGTCCTCAAACTTTTTCATGTTTTGTTAGACATTTGTATTTCTTCTTTCATAAATTTCCTGCCTATATACTTACTCCTTTTTATTTTTCAATGGCCACTCTTTTTTTGTAAGAACCTTTCATATAGTAATAGTGTTATATGTCTTATACATCCTTTTAGGGTCTCATATCTTGCTTTTAAACTTAGAAAAACCTATCCCCACCCTGATTCCAGATAGATGTTCACTTATATTTTCTTTTAGTTCTTTTCTTTATTTTGAGCTATTTTACCATTAATCCACTTGTAATTTATTTTGGCATGTGGTAATAGAGATTGAATTTTATTTTTTCAAGGAATAACAATTTGTCCTAAAACCATATATTGATTGATTTTTCCTTTCTTCCACTGAAATGCTATCTTTTTCTAATATTAAATCTTTATATGTAGTCAGTGTTAGAGGAAAGAGTCAAGATTGCAATGCTATTTTGATGTTATTAATCCAGGAGCATAAGAAAGCCTGGCTCTTACTACTCACTCCTCTCCTTGAGGCTCCTGAACTAAGGAAACTATAAAGAATAGTAGTCAAATGAGAATAAAATTACCACTTCCCTATTAGCTGAGCCAGTGTCCACAAACCCCTATTGCAGAAATCTGATAACAAATGAGTCAAAGAACAAAGCTTTGACTTAAAAGGTCTACGCAACTCTTCCTCTTTCTAGTGCTTTGCAACTAAGATGGCTACATCTGCAGTGCAGGCATTGTTCTAACTCACATAAGCAGTACACCCAGTTGCAGGCACAGGCCAACTTGCCACATAGAAGCAAGTAGTGCAATAGGAAGTGCTGAGATGAAAGAAACCCTGCCCACTAGTAAGGCATTGTCCAACAAACATCCTTGGTTCTGACTAATCAGATTAATAACATCTCCCTTGTGAGAAACTCTAAGGAAGGAGGTAGAAGGAAGAAGTGTGGGCTAGTAATAGAGTAGTAGTATCCCTACTGCTGTCGACAAAGACAGAAGTTTGGGTCTGTTTCAAGGATGTTTATTTTGTCCTGTTGATTAATATTTTTACAGTACCATGCTGCTTTAATTATTGTACTATACTATTGAGTTGTGCTAGTCTTCTCTCATAAATCTTTTAAAAAAAAATTCCTGTTTTTTCTTGTCCAGGTATTCTTTATCCTTTTCAATGAACTTTACATACAATCATTCATTTAAGTATAAAAATGTGCAATTGTGATTTTGATTAGAACTGCCTTAAATCTATAAATTATTTAACATAGATCACCTCTTCGTAAATAATGGTATTCTCCAAAGTTTCCTTCTCAGCTCAATGTTATTATCACTCTACACACTATCTCACTTGGTGATTGCATACATAAACGTGATTTCAAATTTCATCTATTGTAGTTAATGTTAAATCTCTATGCCTATTCCAGGTGTCTCTTCCAAATTACAGATCCATACTCAAATTGAGTATAACTCCTATTTTTATAACAACTCTCATTTTCACCTGGATATCTTACAGGTACCTCATATTCAAGAAATTTAAAATTGAACTTGATATCTCCACCCTCTAAACAAACAAAAACACTCCCTGCTTCCTGAATTTCTAGGCTTCTTTGTAAGTACTACCTCCATTCAGGTGCTTAATCCAAAAATCTGCTTGTTATCTTTAACTCAACAATCCCCCTTATCCCCTCACCATCTGTTCAATCATCATATCCTGTTGATTTTCCTTTAACATCTCTCAAACTCATCTAATTCTCTCAATCATCATTTCCTACCACCCTTGTTAAAGCCATTATCATCACTTATATGGATTACTACAACAACCTTCTAACTAGTTTCCCTGCTTCCAATGTATCTTTTCTCTCTTTTTAGTCATTTATTGATAATTTCATACCTGGATCACCATCTTCCTTTCCACCCCAACCTCCACCATTCTTCTGAGTGACTTCAAAGTCTATGTGGGTGACTAATCCAACACTCAAGCCAACACTCTAGTCCCTTGATCTACTCAGTTCAAGTATCCTTCACCTCCACTTTACTTTTGCCCGTGGTCAAAACACAGACCTTCTCATCACATGAAATTGCTCTGCCTAAGTCTTAAAATTAAAGCACACTCACTGTTTCCACTCCCACATCTCCCCAATTACTCTTTAGTCCATTCTAATCTGGCTTCTTTTCCCATCAATTTATTGAAATCACCAGCCACTACCTTGATGCTATGTCCACTGGGAATTTTTCTGTTCTTATTTAACCTCTGTGAAGCAGCTGAAACTGTTGACCTCTTCATCTTTGAAAGTACTCTCCATGTTTTTCCTTCTAATATCTTGCTCACTTTTTCTTAGGCTTACTTTTCAATCAATATCTCCCTTAAAAATTGGTCTTCCTCAACCTAGATGCCCATTAAGGGACGAATGGATAAAGAAGATGTGGTATTTATACATGATGGACTACTACTCAGCCATAAGAAATGACGAAATCCGGCCATTTGTGACAACGTGGATGGACCTTGAGGGTATTATGCTGAGTGAAATAAGTCAGAGGGATAAAGTCAAATACCATATGATCTCACTCACAAGTAGAAGATAAAAACGACAAAAAAACCCCACATAGCATTGGAGATTGGACTGGTGGTTACCATTGGGGAAGGGGGAGGGGGGAGGGCAAAAGGAGTGATTAGGGTCACATGTGAGGGGATGCACTATAATTAGTGTTCGGGTGGTGAACATGATGTAATGTATACAGAATTCGAAATATGATGTACATCCGAAAAAATAAAAATTAAAAAAAAATTGGTCTTCCTCAGGGTCTTATCCTAGGATTCTTACTGTCTCATTTAATATACTCTTCCAGGGTGACTGTATCCATTCCTTTGCCTTCAATTACTACTCAAATGTTGATGCCTTTCACATCTATTCATTCGGATCACAGCTTTCTCCCCTTATGTCCTTTAGATACCTCTGTTTGGTCCCTCAGATATCCCAAATTCAAAATCGAACTCATCATCATCCAATCTCCCCCATTCCAAGTCAGCTTTTCCCATGTTCCTTATCTTGGTGAATGACATCACTATTTACTTGATTTTCCAAGCCAAAAATTGGGAATCATTTTAGAATTTTTCTCCAAAAATATGAATATCATTCAAGAATCCTTCTTTCTCCCCTTCAATATCTAATGAATCACCAAATCACGTTGATTCTATCTCACTAATCTTTTTATAACCTACCCTCTTTCTTATACTCCAACTTTCATCTTTCTTCATATTGAGGCTTCATATATTGCATCCCCTACATCTGGGACTTCTTTTTTCCTGCTTTTCTCCCCATATTATCCCTTCACCTGTATGCTTCTTTCATATCCTTTAGATCAGTGGTTATCAAAGTGTAGTTCCGGATCCAGCAACATCAGAATCACCTGGGAACCTGTTTGAACTAGCAAATTCTTGAGCACCATCCCAAACCTGGTGAATCAGAGGCCCTGGGAATTGATCCCAGCAATCTATGGTTTAACAAACCTTTCAGGTGATTCTGATACATGCTAAAGTTTGAGAACTACAGATTTAGATTTCAGCCAAGATAACACCTACTCTGGGAAACCACTCTTAACCATTCAAACATTAGATTAGATACCCTATTCCACACCTCCATAGCACACTTTGAAAACTCCTATTTGATGCTTAAAACACTGCATTATAATTACCAGTTTACTTGTTACTCTATCATAATAGCCCAAGATTTTTAAGGGTGGGAACAAGTATTATTTCCCACTGCATCCATAACTTCTAAAATTGTGCCTGCACCCAGCAGGCCTCCAGTAATTGTTTATTCAGTGAATGAATGATTGGAAGAGAATGTGGTCAAGATTATGGTCACCCTACATTTAGTATTAGGAGCTTAGTATGTGACTGGAGTTATGATTTAGTCTGTACTAGGGAGACAAGAACTTTAACTATGGCTGGAGTTAAGGATCAGTTTGTGGTCTGGGATAGGTCACTCTCTAGCCATGATTAGGAGCTCAGACTATAACAAAGGTTAACTTCAGATCTAGAGAGGGTTAGGAACTCAATCCATATTCAGGGTTAAGGCCAGTATAAGGCTCCATGTGTAACCAGTGTTAAGGATTTACAAAAGACCTAAGGTAGGTAGCCTGTTCTGAGATTGAGAGAGTTAGTATTTCATAGAGACAAACTCAGGCTGTGGCTTAGTCCTGGATAATATTCCTTTTTCAGTTCTCTAAGAGCATGCTTTTTTAAAGGAGCAAGCCGGAGGGCTGAATCACAGGTGTTTCACGTCCTTTGTCCCTTCACTAAGCGTTCCCACTCACCAGGCTCAGCAGCCAGTGGCCAGCCAGTGCTGGATTCTAGCACTCCATGGGCATGCACAGAGTAGGGGCGGCTGGCATTATTCTTGAACACCACAGTTAAGATATCACCAACCTCTCCTCTGAGAAGTGGACCTAATATATACAAAAGAAGGAAAAGTCTCATTAATGGAGTAGTGAAACAGGGACATTAAAGGCAGTAAAGAAAGGGACGTACACAGGAGCTCCCTAGAACTAGGGTTTGCCCTGAGATAGGATCTTTCTGAGACTGAAAGTCATTACTGGCGCCACTTTTAAATTCAGAAGCCCTTAAACTGATACTGCTACACGTAGGATAAGGATACTTCTACAACAGGATTGTGTCTCAAATTACCCTTACTTTTCCCACCCCAGCTCTCTCTATATTATAGCCCAAGTTTCTAGATAATCGCAGCTCTGTGGAATCATTGTTGAAAAAGAGTGAGTTTGGCACAGAGTACAGAATTCCTGGGCTGTCTTCAAGGCCCAGTGGGTCTCTTCAGTGCAAGGACAAGAAAGAGAAAACTTATTGGCCCCTACATGAGTGGAGAAACTGAAGGAATAGTTAAACTGTAGTGCAAGGGAAATACTGGTTCCCTGTATCATTTTTTTTTTTTTTGCTCTTTGATGTTCCTAAGTTCCCCTGCCTTTAGCATTTTTTAAAAAACCTATAACCCTGAGAGATCCCTAGATACATAGGCTTGGAAAAACCTGGTTCAGGTTGCAGCAGAATTAATTAATTTCCCCCTTTGATTGCTTATTTTCGTGAATAATTTATAAAATATTATTATAGTTCCAGGCTATCTTAAGGAAAAACTGATATTGGGGAATGAGGAGGCCTTCCTGATATGACATAGCCTCCCTAGGAGCAGCACAGGCTTCTAGACACTAGGAAGGAAGTGGAATTCCCTTACCTAAGATTCCCAAGTGTTCCTCTGATCCAGTCCTTGGCCGAGGGATCCTGAATGTACCATCTGTGTATGCCCTGAATACAGCTTTCTTGTATCTGGAACCCAGGAGCCCATCTTCATTGCTCAGGAAAATGTGACCATAACTAGAAGAATCCAAAGAGTGGCATCAGCACCTGGTCCTCAATCCTTCATTTTCAGATATGGGGGAGCTAAGTCAGACTCAACCTCCCGTCACAAATAGAATAAAGAGGGGATTATGCCTTCTAATGTCACATTGCTCACCACATTGGCTGCTTAATTGCAATTAAAGATGGCATATTTCAATATATATTTGTGTTCCCTTATTTGTAATCATCCAGATAGGAATTTGTAGTACAGCCAATATGGTAAGAGCACTGAAATAAGAATCAGAAGCCTGGGGCTGGCCTGGTGGTATAGTGGTTAAGTTTGTGTGCTCTGCTTCTTCTGCCTGGGGTTCATGGGTTTGGATCCTGGGGGCAGACCTACACACCACTCATCAGGCCATGCTGTGGTGGTGTCCCACATATAAAGTGGAGGAAGATTGGCATAGATGTTAGCTCAGGACTAATCTTCCTCACTAAAACAAAAAAAGGATCAGAAACCCTGGGTTCTAGCTTCAGCCTTAATGATGTCTTAGATGGAATTAGTTTGACAAAAAGACAAGGTACAAGATGGCATGAGAGTACAAACTGCTTTTACTGCTGGAAGGTAAAGAATGGGGAGACATAGGGAGGAAATGGAATCTTACAGATTTCTCCTTGTGTGATGCTTTGCCAGTTTCCAAAGAGCTTTATTATTCATTTCATCATTTTACATTCCCAATAGGCTGATGAGGTAGGTATATCCCAGAGACGGAATCAGTAGTTCAGAGATGCTAGGACTTATTTTCATTGTTACTGTCAGTCAGAAATGGAGCCAGGACATGGATTCAAGTCTGCTGCTCCTTTTCTACCTCCTTCTAGTAAAATTCTTTCAACTATACCACATCACTTTAAAGATTAGTAAACCAAGGCCCAGAGAAGGGAAGTCACTTTTTCAAGGTTGCAGAACAAGTTAGCAAGAAGGCTTCAAACTTCAACAGCCAATATAAAGGGTAAGAATTGGGAAAGGGTGGTGAGAACACCAAAACTAAACTAGTGGAAATTTCTAAACTATACCTCAATTTCAATTCGCCCCTCCTTTCTTTTTTAGTAATAGAATCACCTAGGTTTTAGCTGAGCACATGGCTGCCTAAACAGAGATTACACTTTTAGACTTTCTTGCAGTGAGGTGTGGCCATATGAATAAATTCAGGATAATTGGGTATGATAGAAAGTGATGTATACAACTTCCAGGTCATCGCCTTACAGACAATACTGCTTGCCCTGGACTTCACTCCCTTTTCTTCATATCTGGGAATGACTACAAATGAAACAAGTATCTTAGTTTCAGAGATGAAAACAAATTTTATGAGTGACTAATTCACCTACAGACCCTGGACTGCTCTAGTTTTACTATTATGTGAGCAAGAAATAAGATTCTAATGTATTTAACCACTCTGTTTTGGGCGTTTTCTGTTATACAGCTTAGCCTGTACCTTAATAACAGTTTGTCAAGGAACAGCTGAGCTTGGGGTATTCAGTCCCTTGAGTAAGTCCTCTATAAAATTTAAGTCCCAGTATAGGTACTTCTGGCTAACCAGAGGAAAGGAGGCAAAGATTAAGAGCATGAGAGTGTGGGTAAGATCTTTTACTTCAGCCCCATAGTATAGCAATATAGAAGCATTGAGTTACAGCTTACCTGCATTCTAGCCCTTGCTTCAGATTTGGTATCTTATTAGGTGACTTTAGATAAACGTCTCCTCATCTCAGAATTTCAGTACCCTCCTTACCTGTAAAATGGTTCAGAGTCTCTGAAAGTATGATCTCTTCTTTTCTGAAGGCTTACCTGTCCTTCTCAGACTGGTTGTGCCATTCCAGTTCCCAGCTCCTGTCAGGGCAATAGTCCCATTCCACCTCTTCTGCCATGATATAGTAGATTCTTGCAGCCTGATAACGTTGACGAGGGGTGGCTTGGCGGCCAGGACACTGGGAGACATTATAAATTGCCCTCATCCCTGCTTCTCTATGGCTACCTGCTTGGCAGTAAATCTCAAATGTCCCTGAAGAAGGAACAGAGAGAAAAACTTGAATCAGAATACCCCTGTGTAGCACACAGGGGATTTCTTATCTCTCTGTAGGCATACTGCAGAGAGTGGTTAGTTTTGGAAAAGGTTCTTCTATGCATTAGATAAGAGATTATTTCAAATTTATTGCGAGCAATGAGCATAGATGTTAAGAACTCCAAAGCCACACTGTTTGGGCTTAAAACTGCACTCTGCCACTATGACCAACTCTTCCTATTTACCTGGGCTTTCCCAGTTTTAGCACTGAAAGTCCCATATCCCTGGAAACTCCCCAGTTCTGAGCAAACTGGAATGGTTGGTCACCCTATCTGACGCTTATTAGCTGTATAACCTTGAGGCAATTTTTAAGCTTTCGTATTTTTCAGTTCCTTCATGGTAAAATAGAGATCCTTTACTTCATTGAGTTGTTTTAGAATTAAACACAATAATATGTACACATTACTTACACAGTATATAGTAAACATTCAATAAGTGAAGCTATAAATAAGCAAATAAAGCCATCATAATTATTATTCCAACGAAGACATTGACCAGTTGTCTCCTTTTTCTACCAAGTACCAAAGAAATAAAGATGGGCTTAAATAGATATCGCACGTCATGTTCATAACATTACAGTGAGTTAAATAATTATTTCCCCCTATTATGCAGATTAGCAAATTATAACTCAGATGCACAGAGGCTAAATGACATGTAAAGGTCACACCATTAGGAAGCAGTAGAGGGAGGTACAGACCCGTGGCTCTGGCTCTGTGGTGGGGGAAGGATGCTGGATGCCAGCTGGGAGCCCTTCTTGATCATAAGGATGCTTACATCAGAGAGCTTTGGGACGGCTTTCCCTAGGTTTTTACAATGAAATGTTTGGATATCAGTCTTAAATATCTGAGTTGTGGAGCTGCCTGGACCTGACCTGAAGCTCCAGGTTTCTATATCAGGGACACTACAGTTATAGAATGTTGACCAGAAGAAGCTAACTTTCCTAGAACATTTTTTTCACCATTACTTCCCTTGCTACCCACTGCCTATCCCATCACTACAAACACTTCTTCCTGGATTTTAAAAGCTTCTATGAGCTGGCTCCAAACTATTGACCCAATCCTACTTTCCACTTCATCCCAAATTCAACCAGTTCTACAACTAAATTTGCCCGTGACTGTCTCTCTCACATATTTCATTCCTACCTTGGAATTTTCACTCATATCGTTACTCCCTTTCTAGAATGTACCTGCCCACCCCTTCCACAAATATCTATGAGAGCTCACTCATTCTCCAGGGCCTACTTCATGTTTTATCTCTTCCAGAAAGCCCTCCTTGACTATTCTGGCCCACATTGTCTTCTAAATTCTTGGCCTCTCCTAGCAAACTTTACATCTAAACCACATGGTTAGGGACTAAGTGCTTCCCTCTTTAAAAACAATCCTTTCCACTAATTTATAGACTTCTTCAAAGAAAGAATCCACTTTTTTCCTTCCATATCTACTTCTTAACTCTTCTAATTCTCTTACTTCCCACAGCTATTCCCTCAGTAAATCTTATGAGCTCTTCCTTCAAAATTATTCTTCCATTTCCAGTCTCACTTCCTTAGTTAAAGCCACCATCATCTCTCACTGGAAAACTTCAAAAGTCTCCCAACTGTCCTCTCTGCTTTTCTTCCCTCCTCAACCATTCTCCATCCAGGATCCAGGGTCCTCTAAAGAATATGATCCAGAGCACATTGCTCCTTTGCTTTAATGCTCCATTCATACTTAGAATATGATTCCAGCTTTTGACTATGGTCTACAAGGCCCTACATAATATGACTCTTGCCAAACTCTATGAACTCATGTCATTTCAGTCTTATGTTAGCTCACTACATGCCAACCATACTGTCCTTCTTTCTGACCTTTGAACATGCTTTTTCTCACCTTAGGACATTTGCCCTTGCTGGTCTTTCTGGTTGGAATGTTCTTCTCAGAGATCTTCTTATAGCTCCTTCCTCCTCATTATTTAGGTCTCAGTTTTAATGTCACATTCTCAAAGAGGCCTACCCTGAGCACCCTCTCTAAAGCAATGACCCTATCATTTTATCACATCACTGTATTTTACTTCCTTAATGACATATATTATGATCCAAAATTGTCTTATTATTTTATGTATGTGTTTTTATGTTTATTGCAGATCTCCCCTAACAGCAAAGATCATGTCTATCTTTTCACTTTCCTACCCCCATCTTAGCACATGGAAGGTGTGCAATAAATAAGTGCTGAGTAAATAAATGTGTGTGCAAATGAATGACTGTATACACTGTCCAAAAGTCATAGCACAGGAGTTGTTAGTGTGAAGAAGAAAGTCTAATGATCACTGGAGGGCATGGGAAAAAATAGAAGACATTCTCGGAGAGTCAGGTGACCTTGGACTAGAACATCATCTGAATTTTCTCATATAGACATTATTGTGCAAGAATCTTCTTTTTCAATACTCTTCTGCTGTTGGTCTCTGAGTCTCCTCCTACCTCTTTGATCAATCTTTTTCTGTCTCCTTATTCTGATTTTTCTTCTCCTTCCTATCTCTTAAATATTGATTTCTACCTTAAGTTTTCTTTCTTATCACTTTACATGCTTATGGACTTGAACTATGAAAACACCCAAACCTCTCTCTCTAGTCTGGACTTTTCCAAGCTTTACATTTCTACCCACAGCTACATACTGTGAAATCCACACCACCTGGATTTCACCAGGAACTTAAAACTCAAAATGCCCTCAAATAAGCACTTTCTACCCAAACCTCACTACCCTGCCCTTGCTTCTGTGTCTGTTCATTTGGTTAATGACACCACTATCCATCCAAGTGCACAAGCTGGGAACCTCAGGCATCCTTCTTCTTGCTCAGCCCTTCACCAAAGTCCTGTAATTTCTCTCTGAAATATCCCTTAACTCTGCCCCATTTCTCCACCCTTATTGCTCCCACCCATTGGCAGGCTATCACTGCCTCTTGCAAGAGCCTCCTGCTCTGCATCCCCTTAAATCTTACTTCTTGGTGTTCCTCAACAGGGATGCTATTAGCATTTTATGTGGGATTATTCTTCATTGTTTAAGACTGCCCTAAATATTTCAGAAAGTTTTAGAATCTCTGCTCCCCACCCTCTAAAAGACAGTATCACCCCCCTCCATATCCCTAGTTATTATGACAACTAAAAGCACCTCCACACATTTTCAAACACCTTTTAGCATACTACCTTGTGAGAACCAATGAATAAAATCAGTCTATGCAACTTTCTCCAGACAGAGTCTGCTTCCAAGTCACTGCCCATATGGTTGCTACTGCCTATAATGCCATCTTCACCACCCATCCCTTTTCTTTGCCTGGTGACAGTTTACTCATCCTTAAAAGCTCAATTTGACTGTCTATTTTCCTAAGAAAGCTTCACTCCACAAATCATGCAGAATTTGTTATAACTTCTTGTGTGTTATCATAGCTCTTGGCAGATAGCATCATCATAGCCTTGCCAATGTTGTTTACATACCTATTTCCCTTTCACACTAACTGTGAGCTGCCTCATTAATCTGCACATCCCTAGTGTCTGGACAAACAAGTGGAAGAAAACAGATGTCTTTGATGTTTTTGGAAAATGTAACTGTAAAAGGAAGGGAAAATAAAAAGAAGTGAGAAAAAAGAAGGAAAAATAGAGAGGAAGACAAGGAGAGAGGAAAGAAAAGATACAGGTTGAAGGAAAAGGAAAAAGAAAAAAACAGGAGGAAGGGAAAAGGTGAAAAAATAAAGAAGAAAAAAAGGGAGATAGGAAGACAAAAAATAGAAATAAAAAAGGGAAGGAAGTGGAGATAAGGGAAGCCCAAAAAAAGGAGGGAAAATCAAAGGAAAAAATAAAATAAAAAAGAATGGAGAAAAGAGAGACAAGAGAAGGAAAAGAAGGAAGGGAAGAAAGAAGAGAGAAAAAGAATGGAAGGAGGAAATGAAAAAGAATAAAATACCAAGAGAAAGATGGGAGAAAAATAACTGGAAGAAAAAAAGGAAAGAATGAAGGAGAGAACAGGAAAAAGAAAGAAGAGAGATATAAAAATGGAGAGAAGGAAAAAAGAATGAAAGAAAGAAGAGGAAAAATGAGAAAAAGGAGGAAAAAGGAGTGGGGAAAGAAAAGAGAGTGGGAAGGAGGGGAAAGAGGGGACTGATGAATAAAGAAAGAGCTCCAATGGTCAAAGAGAGGAAAGAAACACCGAGGGACCAAGGCAGTAATAAATATTCTTTTCTTTGCTGCTGAGAAATCAAACATGAAGCTGGTGGGAAATGACACATTTCAAGCTCTAGCCTTTTTATCTGTCACTTTTCTTGGCTATTAAAGCTCTAGTATCAATAGTTCTATTGGAAGAGCTGAGGTATATTATGCAGGATGATATCTTTGAACACAGTATATCATTTCTATTAAATGTAATATAGGTTTATTAAAATTTAAAGGAAAGAGAAAAGAGAATAAACAAATCAGCAATAACTCTCACAACTTGAAGACAACATTTTGCTGTATTTTTTTTCTGGAGATTTGTTTTTCTATTTTGTTAAACATAATTGTAGGCAGCCAGCACACAAGATGAATCACCATGGTGATTTTTTTTTTTTTGGAGGAAGATTAGCCCTGAGCTAACATCTGCCAATCCTCCTCTTTTTGCTGAGGAAGGCTGGCCCTGAGCTAGCATCCGTGCCCATCTTCCTCTACTTTATATATGGGACGCCTACCACAGCATTGCTTGCCAAGCAGTGCCGTGTCCACACCCGGGACCCGAACCGGTGAACTCTGGGCCGCCGAAGCTGAACGTACACACAAAACCACTGAGCCACTGGGCTGGCCCTGCATGGTGATGTGTTTAAGTAATCTGCAAAGCTGCTCAATTACGTATGTATATTTCCCAGTCCCCATCATGACTCCTTTCTCTAGAATCCTAAAGCCAGATTCTGGTCCTGGCTTTTTTTAACTGGGTACTTTTACTCTCTTTGGAGAGCTACGTGCAATAGTCTTTCAATCTTAATCCCCCAAGGGCAGAATGAAGGAGAATTAAAATTTAAGAGATCACCTAGGAGAGAGAATTAATAGGAGCTTATGGAGAAGGGAGAGGGAAAAGAAAAAATAGAGCCAACATTTCTAACCTCAGCAAATCATTTTCCCCCTCCAGGTCTCTGTCTCTTTCTCATGTTAGTAAAATAAGTGAATTGAAATTATCTCACTGGGAATCCACTAGTTCTAATACTCTATGTCTGGGGAACTCTTCAGAAAGAGGATAGAGTTTGAAAGGTCCGGAAATGCAAAGGTAAAAAGAGTTTGGGCTTTTTCTGGTGAGAAAACTCAGGAATCTTGACCAAGAACAACGTTTCAAGCCTTTAATCTTATAAAACATTCACTCACTCTCCCCTCATACCAGCAAACAGAATGTTTTCAAGCCATCTACATCCACATTCCTTGGGCCTGAATGTAACACAAAAATAATTTCATTCATCCAAAGTAGGAGTGAGCCCTGGGGAGGCATATAGACCCAGCTGGGAACCTGGCTAATTCATTAGGAAGGAGATTAAACCAAGGGTTTGGCTTTGGGACCAAGGCTAGACAGAAAGGTCTTTCTTATTCAGAAGGTCCCCCTACTCAGGCTTCACTACAAGTACTTGTTTCTGCTGTTCCTTTCAGCTCCATTAACTGTTGTTTCTAATTTGAAAACAACTCTCCTGACCAAGAAAGTATTCCTGGTACATAGGCAGAAATGAGGACCCAAGAAGTCTGTGGGGACCAGCTTTACGCAAAGTGTTTGCCAAACCCAGTGCCAGGCTGAAATAATTAAATCATCAAGCAGACGTGTTTTGTTTAGGGATTTCTTTTCCAACTGTGAATGGAATCTACAGAACTAAAATATTATTTTAGTAGGAAATGTGTGGAACTGACAGATTTTTCTTACAAACACTATTGCTGTCTATGTTGTTAGTGCCTTGTGGAGTCAATTCCAATTCCTAGTGACACTGTGTACAGCAGAGCAGGACCCTGCCTGGTCTTTTTGAGCCATCCTCTTTTTGAACCATACTCTCACCTTCCAGTGCTCTATCAGACAACACTCTGCTGCTATTCATAGAGTTTTCATGACCAACTTTTTCAGAAGTCTGTGGCCAGGTCCTTCTTCCTAGTCTATCTTGGTCTAGAAGTTCTGCTGAAACCTGTCTACCAGGGGTGACCCTGCTGATATTTGAAATACTGGTGGCACAACTGAAGGCTTAGCTTTCAGACTCACAGCAACACGCAGCTGCCACAGTATGACAACCAACAGATGGGTGGTATGATTTCCTGACCAAGAAATGAACCTCGGCCACTGACGTTAGAACACTGAATCTTAACCCCTAGGCCACCAGGGCTGGCTCACTATTGCCACCTACTGCCTGCATAAAGAATGCATCCTAGGAACTGCAAAAGGAAAGTACTGCTGCATTATGAAATGTCAGACGTAGACTGATTCTGAAGAAACACTGTAGTCAAATTTCTTCATGAAAGAAAGAGAGAGAGAGAGAGGAAGAGAAAGAGGGAGACAGAGACTAAGAGAGAGAGATATAGGAAAGGAAGGTGAGGGAGGGAGGGAGGGGGAGGGACAGACAGAGAAAGAAAAAAAGGAAGAACTCTAGCTACAGGAGGGGGAATGATTAGAACAAAATTAAACAGAAAGTTAATGAAACTAGAAGTTGCTGTGTTCTGGTTCCTGGGCTGAAACTGTTACAGCACACCTCATCCCACTCTCATCAGAAGTTTGCAGAAATCCTCCCAGAATATGAGTTGGGAGCACATAGGCACATCTCATGGACCTCCCTCCCAATGCAAAGAGTTTATCTATAGAATCTCTACTTGGCCAAGGAGTTACATGGCCAAGTCCACTCTCTGCCTTTATAAGAATTGCTATGATGCTGGGTGCATCTCGCCTTCTCTCCTGTTGTTCCTGAAAAGAACTTCCTCAGTTCTTCACTCTATTCTGTCTCCAACAGAGAAGAGAGTCCAAACAACCAGAACATGGAGTACATATTGAGGAGGGAGAAGACAAAAGTGTTTTGAAAACTTCCCAAGTACCTTCAGCATGATTTTTCTCTTCACCAGCACTCTCCACACCTCCCCCGCAACAACACCATGCCCAACAAAGCCTCTCAGCTCAGGGCCAGCTGCTAAGGCACTTACCAGGGTTGTCGGGCTGCATGATGGCCATGACAAAGGTGTGAGGAAAGAGCATGGCTGCACTCTTCCTCATGCCCTGAAGCTGCACGGTGTTTCCCTGGAACATGACCCCATGCACATCAGTCTCTGTGCCTAGGCTGAGCAGGTGCCAGGCCACTATGTCACCCTTGCACATGTCCAGCCTGGGCAGGTTAGAGAACAGAAATCCATTAATGGCTGGAAAACAAAAACACAAGACAGGATAGAGAGATGAGACCAGACTACTTGGGCACCAACCAGCAGCATGGCATCAGCTCTGTACTGTGGTTTCCCACAACTTGAAATTCCCAAGTCATCCTCAACTCCTATGCCCTTTCCCCTAAGCCACATTAGTTCTACTTATGAAGATCTGTCTCTTTGAGATGAGAGCCCAGCTGGCCTTCCTGGGCTCACCTCTCCTCCCTTGGCTTCTATTGCACCACACTTTCCTGGTTTTCTTACAACCTCTCTGATTGTTCCTCGTCCATCTTGTTCTCATTCTCCATCCCTCCGTAAAGTGTTGGGCTTCCCCAGGTTCCATATTCAGCTTTCAATTTGTCTTCTCTTCATCTTCACTGAAACTGCCATGGTTCTGGCCCTCATCATCTCTGGCCTGAATTCCTGCAAAGTCCTCCTCCCTAGTACCTCTGCCTGAAGTCTGTCCTCCCACTCCCTCTTACACAAATACACACATCATTATCCAGCGAGCTCGATTTGCCTCTGCATCCTCAAAGCCTTAAACACAGTAGTTGCTTAGAAAACACTTGTTGACTTTTCACATGCTGTTCCCTCTGCATGGAATAAATTTCCCTCTGGTCTCTCCCTATAGTAAACTGCTACTCATCCATCATGCTCCAGCTCAAAGGTCACCATTCCTGTGAAGCACAGTTATTACTCTCTCTCTGGTTTTCATGAAACTGTTGCCCCACAAAATTCTGCCATATCACTTACCACAGAGTCCAGTGATTTACTTATAAATCTATCTCCCACACTAGATTGGCCTACCAGGAAGCACATCATTTTTTATGTTTCTATGTGACTGCTCAAGCACCTGGCATGTTGTTTGGTGCTAATCAGGTATTCCATGATTTCAAACTGGAATGAACTTGGTTTGCAGGACTGTCTTGCTTTATCTGGCTGATGTAACTGACTGGTGATGAGAACCAAGAGATGGAGCCAAAAGACAACACACTCCTTCTTGACCCCCTCCCATCCTCCACACTCCCCTTAAAACTACATGGAGACCTGCTTGAAGCTGACACTTTTTTAATGCTCCCACATCCACTGGAACCAGCTTTAATGAGTAACTGTATTTGGTAATCCCCTGGGACGCTAATGGGAATACTGCTAACCTCCTGATTCTGCTTTCCTTGCCTGTAACGTCTGCTTGAAAACCTATTCAGCCTTCAAATCCCAGCTCAAGCTCTCCCTTCTTCCAGGAATCCTTCAATTGGATTGTTCCTCATTAAGGTTTTCCTCCTCTGAACTCTATGTCACTTAAAATCTGTTCCTCACAATTTGGCACTTACTTATAGTCTGTCTTGGATCATTTTATAGTTGTTTCATGGGTGTTATTAGTCACATATCGTTGTAACATGCTGGGAGCTCCTTGTAAACTGGGACCATGTCTTCCCATTCATTCACTCTCCCACCCACCCAGCTACTCATTAATTTTGTAGTTCACTAGATCAATAAACATTTACTGTGTATTGTTTTGTTTTGTTTTGTTTTGAGGAAGATTAGCCCTGAGCTAACTACTGCCAATCTTCCTCTTTTCGCTGAGGAAGACTGGCCCTGAGCTAACATCCATGCCCATCTTCCTCCACTTTATACGTGGGACGCCTACCACAGCTTGGCTTTTGCCAAGCAGTGCCATGTCCACACCCAGGATCTGAACTGGCAAACCCCAGGCCACTGAGAAGCAGAATGTGTGAACTTAACCGCTGCACCATTGGGCCGGCCCTACTGTGTATTAGACAGTGTAGAAGATACAGAGATAAGCAACAAACAATACTCACCTTAAAAGAGACTATACTCTAGCAGAAATCAAAAGCCATATAGCAATAAACATAACTATAATATGGAGGAGAGGAGTGCATGAAACTTGCTATTAAAATAGACTAATACAAATGCAATGGTAGTTCAGAAGAAGGTAACATCATCCTGGACTTGGCTGATAAGAAATGGTTACATGGAGGAGGTAGCTTTTGAGTATGGTCTTAGGGAATGGGAAGAATTTCCACAGGACAAGGACAAAGATATAGGGAAGAACATTTTAAGTGGAAGGCAAAGCATTGCAAAAGCATGAAGTCATAAAAGTACAAGGTATGTTCATATAGAGAAAAATAGCCCTGTTTGACTGGAGTATGGGGTTGGTGAGCAAGGGTAGTGGGTAATAAGGGAGAAAGACTGGAAATTTATCATCTCAGCTTACTCTGCTCACTCTCTAGTGAGTTATTTCTGTGCAATCTTCATTTCACAGTACCTTTTCCCAGAATCCTCCATACAGTGTAACACAGGACACAGCATAAGAAGATGTTAAGTATAAGATCTGTTATCCTAGGTTTAATCTCTCAATTAAGCTTATCTTTTGGGCATAGATAACCAATGGGATCAGTGTTTGCAGGGATGGATCAAGATTAAGTTTAGGTTAGATTTTACTTGTAGTCTTTTGGTTGCAGATCAGGGCAAAAACACTCCCCATACCATGCATCCGATTGGAGTCTTGGAAACCCTTGACATCCTCTGAGAGCAGTCTGGAATCCAACATAGCAGCTGCTTGATTGGCATTGCTGTACCAGCTCTTGTTCTCATCCAACACAGTGAATAGGAGAAAGAATTCTTTATCCACCCCTTTCTGTAGGCCCAGTAGGAGAGAACAGAGGGAGGGATGACAATGGTTTCAGCAGTTGGGGACTGTTCAGCTCCAGACTCAACAATCCCTAATTCTAATTCTTCCCCATTTCCTTTTCCAGACACAGAGCCAAGCCCATATCTCCTACCTTGAGCTGCAGTTGTTGCTAGGCAGTTTTTCCTCAAATAATCTCAAATTGTAGCTAGAGAAAGGAAGTTAGAATAAAGCAACAAGACTAGAGGGGAGGAATGTATGAAAGGAAGAAGCACTAGATGAGGATTATGGAGAAGAGTGTGATAGAAGAGATCTTGGGGTCACTTGTGGAGAGGAGTGGGGAAAGGTGGCTAGGAGATCATAGGAGGAGTCCTAGGGGAAGGGAATTAGAAAATGAGAGGAAAAATAATTATAATTCATATACTATGATTTTTATTAATTACTATTATTACTATTATTAATACTGTTAACAATTACTGAGATCATACTATGTACCAGACACTGTGCTAAGCCCTTTATATGGATTATTTTAATTAATACTCACAGAAACCCAAGATACCTTCTTCTATTGTTAACCCTTTACTACAGATGAGGAAATTGAGTCAAAGAGGGGTTAAGTAACATGGCCAAGGTTGCACAGCTAGAAAAGGTGGGTTAGATATGAAAGAAGACAAGCAAATATTAAAGCAGATTTAGGAATTAGGAGCAAGGGTTAGGGGCCACTGAGGTTAAAAAACTGAGGAGATGATGGAAGAACATAAAATAGAAAGGATTAGAGACTAAGTAAGATGTGTGTTTGTCAGAAAAAGAATAGTATGCAAGATAGCGTGAGGTCGCTAATTAATTTCTGATTCAATAGTTTGGTTCTTTTTTTTCCCTTCTATTTCCTTACCTCTAGAACCTAGTTCCATGCTTAACTCCTATTCAGCAACCCAGCCTCATCCTTTCCAGCCAGACTTTCCAGCCAGAAATCCTGACAATACCTGTTTGCCATCTGCACCCAAGGCACCAGCCTTACACACCAGCAGGGGGCCCACCAGACCAGAATTTGTATCTCTTATTGGATCTGCAGCAGAGAAGTACATCCAAGTGAGACAGGCAGGATCCTGAGAAGTAGGGCCAGCATTGGGGGGTACTGTCCAGCGGTATATTACTTTTTCAAAGGGCTTGGCTACCAAACCAGGGTGGGGTGAGCCTGTAGGGAAAACATGGGACTCATTATTCACATTGGCTAGGGGGAGGATCATCAGCTCCAAAAAGTGGGGTAAAGATTGTAAACTACAAAGGCATTTTGGAACAGCAACAACATGGAATATTGACTATTGAAAAGGACCCTGGGTAGGACTCAAGAGACTAGACTTTAGTTTCCGGTTCTGCCCCTACTTATTACAATAACTGGGGAAATCTAAAATTCCCCAGGTTTCAGTTTTCCAAACTCATAAGACCTAAGGATGAAAAGAGCCTTTAAAACTTATTTGGAATACCACTCTCCTGAAAACATACATTCATCTCCTCTTATATCCCTACCTCTGCTTAAAAATCTCCAGAGATGGGAGATTCTACCATCATAGCCTGTTTCATCTTTGAATGGTTCTGGTTGCTGAACAATTTTTCCTTTCTTTATGTATTATGTATATGTGGATGTGTGTATGTTATGTATGTATGTTTATATATGAAAAAATATTAAGGCTGTAATTTCTTAAATGGATACAAGTCATGATCAAGCAATGCACAGAGATTTTATTTTAAATTTTCAAAAGTATTAGACATCAAAGAAGTACAAATGAAAATAGCTAGACAACTTTTTCCCTGTCAAATTAGCAAGATTTTACAAATTATAATAATCAGTGCTTGTGAGAAGTGGTCAGATGGCACCTACCCCTCTCACTCACCTATAAAAAGGGTAAGTGTAAATGAGAATAGCCCTTTTGAAAAAAATGTTGACAAAATGTATCAAAAGCCTTAAAAATGTTCATGCCCACAAAAGAGTAAGATACTCAATAAATACTGAAAAGAATGTTTAACCTAGTGCAAATCAAAACAACAGTGAATTTTGCTGTTATTTGCTTACAAGGCTGATATTTTGAGAAATATTAAAATGGCTGCTCTGTGCTGGTGAGGTTGTAAGAAAATGAGTCCTCCCTCTCAGTTACTGTTGATGGAATTCCAAATTGATGGGACTGCAAATTTTTCCAGACAACAATTTAGATGCAGGTATCAAAATTTTTAATGTAAGTGCACTCTGACATAGCTATTCCACATCTTGAGAATATATTCTGAAGAAATAATAATAAAAGTGTGCAAAGAAAAATACACACGGATATTTGTAGTATAACATCACAGGTGGTATAATTTAGGATGGTTTCAATTTATCTTTTGTTGTTCATTCATTGTTCCTAACTCTTTAAATTTTCAAACATACAGAAAACTTTAAAGGATAGTACAATAATTACCCTATCACTGCTGTTTCCTGTTAACATTTTTTTATGTTTAACTCATCTAAATTTAGGTGTATGTTTATCTATACACACACACATGCACACACAAAGTTTTTGTTTGCTTGCTTTTGCTAAATCATTTGGAAGTAAAATGCAAGCACCATGACATTTTACTTATAAATACATCAGTAAGTATCCCCTTTATTACCACAAAGACATTACCACATCTAAGAAAATACCTTAATATTATCTAATATCCAGTCTATATAAAAAATTTTCCAATTATCTCCAAAATGTCTCTTAAGACTGTTTCTCTACAACCAGGATCAGACAAGGTTTACATGTTGCCCTTGGTGTTATGTGTTTAATTTATTTTTTCCCTGTGGCACTGACTTCTTGAAGAGACTAGAATAGTTGCTTTGTAGAATGTTGTTTTATTCTAGATTTGTCTGGAACTTTGCCCTTGTGTTTTCAATATTTTTGATATTTTTGGTTTAAGATTAGCACGTGTTAATATCATCAGAGAAAACAAGAAAATAATTATACAATAATCTTACTTCTAGGATTTTCTCCTGAGATAGTAATCCAAACCAAATGTATATATTCAATCATTGTAACATGATTTACAATATTCAAAAATAATTTTAAAAATCCTACATGTCTAAAAAATAGAAGACAAAGTAGATAAATTATGGCAAATCCATGTGATAGAGTACTATGTAGTCATTAAAATGTTTACAAGATTATAATGGCATGGGAAAATGGACACAATATAATGGTAAATGAAAATAGTACAATACAAAGTTTCACAAACCATGATCACAAATCTACAAATAGATACATTTTTATAAGCACAGAAAAATATTAAAAGTTCTATAAAATGTAATGGCAGTTTATCTATGAATAATATTTATTTATTTTATAATTTTCCATGTTCTTCAAAATTCTATAATACAAATGATATTTTTATAATCAGGATTTATTTAAATATATTTAAAATAAGTTGTGTCTTGGGGCTGGCCCCGTGGCTGAGTGGTTAAGTTCGCGCGCTCTGCTGCAGGCGGCCCAGTGTTTCGTTAGTTCGAATCCTGGGCGCGGACATGGCACTGCTCATCAGACCACGCTGAGGCAGCGTCCCACATGCCACAACTAGAAGAACCCACAACGAAGAATACACAACTATGTACCGGGGGGCTTTGGGGAGAAAAAGGAAAAAATAAAATCTTTAAAAAAAAAAATAAGTTGTGTCTTACTGAACCTAGCTCTGCCTCACTATAATATCATACATTCATTCAACAACATCCACAAATGGCAATTAATTCTGCCTCTCTCTCCATCCTTCCCTCCCCTATTCATTTGTCCTCTAAAGCTTCCTGCTACTACCTGAAGTCCACATTAGTTGGAAACCCTGCCTGCTCACCATCATTGTACACAGTTCCCTCGTAGTCTTTCTCATAAAAGACCCCATGAGGCTGTATGCTGAATGGCTGGGAGGCACGGTTATAGAAGATCACCTGGATGGTGTCACCCACCTCAGCACGGATTACCGGCCCTGGAAAATGGGAAGGACAATGAGAATAAAAACAAGGGTGCCCAGAAAGGACATCCAAATTGGAAAGGAAGAAATCAAATTATCTCTATTTGCATTGATATGATACTATATGTAGAAAAACCCCATGGCCGAGTGGTTAAGTTCATGTGCTCTGCTTTGGCAGCACATAGTTCGCTGGTTAGGATCCTGGGTATGGACCTACGCACCTCTCATCAAGCCACGCTATGGCGGTATCCCACATAGAAGAACTAGAATGACCTACAACAATGTCCTGGGGCTTTGGGGGGAACAAAAAGAGGAAGATTGGCAGTAGATGTTAGCTCAGGGCCAATCTTCCTGAAAAAAAAAAGAAGAAGAAAAAGGGAAGGAAAAAAGAGAAGTGAGAAAGATAGAGAAATCCTTTCCTGGATACACTAAGCAACACATTTTCAATGTAGATGAAACAGCCTTATATTGGAAGAAAATGCCATCTAGGATTTTCATAGCTAGAGAGGAGAAGTCAATGTCTGGCTTCAAAGCTTCAAAGGACAGACTGACTCCCTTGTTAGAAGATAATGCAGCTAGTGGCTTTAAGCTGAAGCCAATGTTCACTTACTGTTCCAAAAATATTAGATCCCTTAAGAATTATGCTAAATCCTACTCTGCCTGTGCTCTATAAATCGAACAACAGAGACTGGATGACAAGACATCTATTTACAACATGGTTTACTGAATATTTTAAGCCCACTGTTAAGAATCACTGCTCAGAAAAAAAAAGATTCCTTTTAAAATATGACTGCTTATTTATAATGCACCTGGTCACTCAAGAGCTCTAATGGAGATGTGCAATGACATTAATGTTTTCTTGCCTGCTAACACAACGTCCTTTCTGTAGCCCATGGATCAAGGAGTAATTTAGACTATCAAGACATTATTTAAGAAATATATTTTATAAGGCTATAGCTGCCATAGATAGGGATTCCTCTGACAAATCTGGGCAAAGTAAATTGAAAACCTTCTGGAAAGGATGCACCATTCTAGATACCATTAATAACATTCATGATTCATGGGAAGAGGTCAAAATATCAACAGTATCAGGAGTTTGGAAGAAGTTGATTCCAATCTTCTTGGATGACTTTGAGGGGTTCAAGACTTCATTGGAGGAAGTAACTGCAGATGTGGTGGAAACAGCAAGAGAACTAGAATTAGAAGTGGAGCATGAAGATGTGACTGAATTGCTGCAATCTCATGATAAAACTTTAATGGAAGAGGAGTTGTTTCTTACGAATGAGCAAAGAAAGTGGTTTCTTGAGATAGAATCTACTCCTGGTAAAGATGCTCTGGAGGTTGTTGAAACGACAATAGAGGATTTAGAATATTACACCAATTTAGTTGATAATGCAGTGGCAGGGTTTGAGAGGATTGAATCCAATTTTGAAAGAAGTTTTGTGGGTAAAATGCTATCAAACACCATTGCTTGTCACAGAGAAATCATTCAGGAAAGGAAGTGTCAATCAATGAAGTAAACTTCATTGTTGTCTTATTTGTTTAAATTTCTACACCCACACCAGCCTTCACCAACCACCACTCTGATCTGTCAGCAGCCATCAAAATTGAGGCAAGACCATCCACTAGCAAAAAGATTACAACTTGCTGAATGCTCGGATGATGGCTAGCATTTTTTTTTAGCAATAACGTATTTTTTAATTAAGGTTTATAGATTGTGTTTTAGACATAACGGTATTGAACACTTAACAGACTATAATATGGTGTAAACATAACTTTTATATGCACTAGGAAACCAAAAATTTCATGTGACTTTTTTTTATTGCAATATTCACTTTATTGTGGTGGTCTGGAACCAAACCCACAATATCTCCTGGTATGCCTGTATCTGATAAGGAATTAATATCTAGAACATATAGAAAACTCCTAAAACTCAACAACAATGAAATAAAGAACTCAATTAAAGATGGGCAAGGGACTGAATAGATATTTTTCCAAAGAAGATATACAAATGGCCAATAGGCACATAGAAAGATGTTCAACATCACTAGTCAGTAGGGAAATGCAAATCAAAACTACAATGAGATACCTCCTCATACCCATTAGGATGGTGACTATCAAATGAAAAAGAAACAATCATCAGCAAGGATGTGGAGAAATTGGAACCCTTATCCACTGTTGGTGTGAATGTAAAATGGTACAGCCACTGTGGAAATGAGTATGGCAGTTCTTCAAAAAATTTAAAGTAGAATTACCATATGATCCAGCAATTCCACTTCTGTGTATATACCCAAAATAATTGAAAGCATGTCTCGAAGAGATAGTTGTACAGCCATATTCATAGCAGCTTTATTCCCAATAGCTAAAATGTGGAAGCAACCCAAGTGTCCACTGACGGATGAATAGATAAGCAAAACATAGTATATACATACAATGGAATATTATCCAGCCTTAAAAAGAAAGGAAATTCTGCAATATGCTACAACATGGATGAATCTTGAGGATATTATGCTACGTGAAAAGAGCCCGTCACCCAAAGATAAATATTGTATGATTCCACTTATATGAGGTACTTAGAGTAGTCAAAATTATAGAGACAGAAAGAATGGTAGTTGCCAGGGGCTTAAGGGAGCAGAGAATGGGTATTGTTTAACGGGTATAGAGTTTCAGTTTTACAAGATGAAAAGAGTTATGAAGGTGAATGGTGGTGGTGGTTGCACATAATTATGAACATATTTAATACCATTGAACTGTATACTTAAAAACCGTTAAGATGGTAAATTTTATGTTATATGTATTATACCACAATACAAAAAAATGAAGAAAATAAAGAAAGACTGGAGACCTATACTGAACACTAGCTAATGATAGGTCCTTAATATTCACTGCCCACTGTCTTTCCCAAGGTGGGTTTCTTTTTCTTATATCTCCTTATCCAGCTAATTAAAGACTTATTGCCCATGTTCAGATCTCCTAGAAGCAACTGGCACATACCTATGCCCAGAATATGGTCCATTACATTACTTTCGTTTCCCAATTTTTATCCCATCTGATCTATTTTATTTCCTGGCTTCACCAAGTAACTAAACCACACCAAACTTTGATATACTATTTCAATACTGTGCTTTAGATCTTCTGGATACCTTCTCCAAGGCCAGGCTCTAAGCCTTGTTCTGAATTTCTCACCATAGCAAGGATGTCTGCATGTCATGCTAATCTGCTTCTGGTACCATATTGCCAAGAACCTGGACAGTCTTACTGCTTTATATAGCCCTTCAGAAATATACCTAGAGGAGAACTTCTAGAAGTATGATCTGTATAACAGTGCTACCAGAAGACATTCACCAAAAAAATGTTCAGTAGTAAAGTAAGTATGAGAATTGCTACATATTCTATTCCCATTTGGAGATTCGTGATGAACCAATGAAAATCCAATGCCCTCAGAAGCTCTGCAGCAAAGAACACTATTTGACTATGTTTAACCTAGTGTTTTGCAAATGCCTTCAGACCCATAACCCTTTTTCACAAAACACTCACCTCTTGGGACTCAATTTGGAAGATGCTGGTCTAGAGTGTGCCTCTGAGCTACACCCAGGCTCCAGTTCCTAAGTCCCTCCCAGTTCCCTAGCTCCAGTCAATGAATTTCACAAGTTAAAATTTCCTCACCCAGGATTCCAAGATGCTTATCTTCCTCCAGTTGCGCCTTTTCCTGGAATGTCTCATCTTGGAAAGCTTCATATCGGACTTTCCAGTAAGTGCCCCCTATTCGGCTGGAGCTCTTCCGGAAAAATTTATCTGAGCCACTGGCGTATAAGGAGGCAAATGTCACATGATTTAATTATGTTTCAAATAGACTCCCACCTCACCCTTAATCTCATCAAGTTATGGCTCTTGATGCTTAGGAAGCACCTCAGAGATCATCCAGGTTTAACTTCCACCTAGTGAAGCTATCTCCTCTGGCGACACCACTAATAAGTGATACACAGCTTCTGGTTGAGCCTTTCCAAGGTCAGGGAAATCGTTTTCAGAGAAAGCAATTCTTCCTACTGTTGGATAGTTTAAATGATTGGAGTTCTTCTTTATAGTACGCTAAAATCTTCTTTCTTGTAAGTTCCAAACACTGGGACCAGTTCTGCCCTCCAGAGTTAAGTAGCCTTCTATCTATCCTTAATCATCCTCAGGCAGCTGTGATCCTTTCTCCCCTTAATCAAGAATATCCTTCATTCCAAAATAAAAGCTACTAATTTAGCAAGCCTAGCCAGAGATTCTAGAAGCCATGCTGAGATCAAAGTGCCTACTTTCCTATGTTTTTTAGAGATTCATTCCATTATTTCCTGCTAGAAGAACAAACATGATGAGTGTCCCAGGATATTACCCCAGAAAATCTTCTGTGAAAGACCTAGAATCACTAATAGCCCAGTGAATTGGTATAACTTAAGGCCTAAAAACTGATTAGGGCACTAACCTTCTGCTCTATCTTGCCCACATCTGAGTCATGGATGAGACAGGAAAATTTGGAGGAATTTCTCTGAAAGGATGGGTGTGGAATGGCCACAAGGCAGGTTGTTTCCCCTCTTCCTACATTTCTCAGAGTGCTTTTTATGCTCCTGCTTAAATGCTTCCTTCAGACTATGGAAAAGAAAGGAAGTAGCAAGGAGGTAAACATTGGGCAAAATGAAGAAGCGACAAAGAAATGCCATTTCAACTGATCTGGTCCCACCTGGGACTTCTTTTGTGAATGTGGCCTGGGATTATAGCAGGACCAATATCAAACTCTGCTTAGACCCTTTGCTGAGTATATGACATAACCCTACAAGAAGCTTTATAGCTCCCCAAGAGCAAGCTCTCCAGAAGGCAACAGGAATTTGGCTTACAGTTGTGTAATTTAACTCCAGTCAGACAATGATTGTGACTCCCAAGTGAAGTGAGAGATTTCAGAAAGGTAGTAATAGGTGTTTGGGGCTAGGCCTAGGAGTAGGGAGAGGGAGCCCACTGCCTCTTACCTGCCTGGCTCCCTCAAATTCTTCCCAGTATTCCCATCATGCCCCATTGGGCCGTAGTCCCATCGAATCTCATGGGCCTCAATGAAGTACTTCCGGACTTTGCCTGTGAGTAGGTTCAGGGGAGGGTGTGTGGAGCATGACTTGACCGTGTAGAGTGCTTGCATGCCATCTGGAGGAAGAACATCAAGGCTGATCTCCTTCCATGCAACAGATCTTCTGCCCAGAGAACTCACCTTCCTCCTTCTCCTAATGTTTCCCTCTCCCACCCTCTACTAGGCTCTTTAACCTGCCTCCAAATGTGCCACTTCCTCTGGCTCCTCAAGAGCATGACTGGGAGAGAGTGAGCCGAGGTGGGAATTCAAGTACCTCCACCTGCTCAATGCCACTGACTCATTTACCAGGTCCTCATTCTTGCCTCTGCAAAAGGCTTACATTGCAGCGACATCACAGAGCTTGAAGTTAGGATACCTGAATTTAAGTCCAAGCCTTATCACTATCTGTAGGACCTTAGGCAACTCACTTCCTAGATCTGAGGTGTAATCTCTGTTTTGTAAATGAGGAGAATAGAGAAATCTACCACACTGGGCTGGTGGGAGCATCAAGTTAAATAAGAGGAGTAAGTTATTTGTAAAGTTGGAAGCTTCCAAAATAATGGAACATCTTCTATACATGGAGATGAAGCTTCAGATTTGGGACTGTCAGGACAATGTACATCTAAGTAGTGTCTCCAACTGTGGAAGATGTTACATTAAGGCATAGCGGTAATGGATGGTAAATTAGAAATCCAAGGCATGAAGAAGAAGGAGGAAAGGATATTCACTTTTGTTTAATATGGATTATACACCAGGTCCTTTGTCAGATGCTTTACATATGTTATCTCCTTCAATACTCATAACCACCCAATGAAACAGACTTTTAATATCCCCTTTCACAGATGAAGAAAACTGAGGATCATAGAAGTTAAGAAACTTGCACAAGCTAGTCAGTGGTGGTGTTGAGACTTAAACTCCTATCTTTTAACTGCAAATTCTAGTGCTCATTTTCTTCTCTTATATTCACTATCTTGGTCTCGTCACTCCTCTAGTCTCGAAGATTCAAAATCACATCATCTCTCTGAAACCTCATTACAACTTTATGCGGTAGTAATCATTATTGCAATCCTCAGATGAGGAAACAGAGGCTCAGAGAAGTGATACAACTTACCAAAGGTAACTAAGCAACTGCTGAAACCAGGGTTTGAATCCAGGCTTTTCTGGCTTTAAGGCCCATGCTTGTTCCACTATCACACTGTATCCCTAACCTCTATCCACATTCATATGCTTACCCAGGCACATTTGGGACCTAAAAGCAGACCCTGGATGATGGAGCACAGGTAACTGGCCCATGTTGGTTCAAAGCTACCATGGCAAACTCATTATCCCACCAGTCTATAGCTTCTCACCTACTCAAATCCACTTTCACAAATTCACATATCACTTTCCTGATGCCCACATAATTTATCATACATCAAATAATTCTAGAAAGGGAGAGCTAAAGAGGATCTTAGAGACTATTTAGGTCAAATCTCCCATTTTATAAATGTGGCAAATGAGGCCTAGAAATGGGGAGGGACTTTTCCAAAGTCATATGGGGAGTTTTTCACAGAGGTGAGACAACAACTCAAATCTTCTAATCACTTATCTAGTGCTCTTCTCATTGCCTCATATGTTCCTCCTTTCCTATGATGCTCCTCAATTCACCATGCCATTACTTCAACCATTCTCCTTCTGTAAACCAAGCCTTCTATCCCTATTGCTGTTGGGTCCCAACCAGAGTATCACTATTTGCCCACAATACTCCATGATCTCCTGCAGAAGCTTCACTTTTCTTCAACTAATTTCTCCTTCACTCTCTGTTTAATCAGCTCCAGGTCTTAGTTCCTTAGAATTCAGAGCAAAAATTGTAGCTTAAAAGTTCAGTTATCCATTTCTATACCATTTTATGGCATAAATGGGGAAAATGGAAGCCAGAAAGATGTGCTCAAGGTCACCCTGCAAATTAATGGCTGAGCCAGGAAAGAACCTTGCTCCCCAGAATTCTAGTCTAGTGTTTCAATCCTTTATATCTTGCTATCTCACCTGAAAGACCTATCTTATGGCTCCAGGCCAGAAGCCCAGGTTCCTGATGACTATTATTGCCACCTCCCTCCTATACCTCAAGGGTCGGAGATGTTGGATCTCACCTTGCAAGTGACTATTCACTTGACAGCTAATTAACCAGGTGCCAGGTTCCTGGGGCACCATCTCAGCAGTCACAAAGGTGGCTGGAAAGATGTGAGCCACATCAGTGCGGTGGCTTCGGATGGTAAGCACCTGTCCATGGAAGAAAGCTGTGTGGACATCTACTTCATTGCCCATGCCAAACAAGTGCCAGACCACACGCTTCTGTGCACACATACTCAGCTCTGGTACATTCCCAAAGACAAAGCCGTTGATTGCTGCAAAAGAAAATCCAAAGAAAATATCAGCATTAGGAAAGAACAGCACAACAGAAGAAGCCTTACCACCTGACAATAATAATAGGTAACATTTAGATAAAATTTTAAAGAGCACACTGTGCTGACTAAATGCATTATCTCATTTAAATCTCACAAATAGCCCTGGGAAATAAGCAGATATAATTGGTCTCATGTGAAAAATAAAAAAACTAAGGCTCAGAGAGGTAAAGCTACTTCTCTCCCAAGTCTACAAAGCTATTAAGTGGCAGAGCCAAGATTCCAACCTGGCAATCAGAGGAAGCTTTCAAAGGAATGAGGTTTATTTTTGCAAGCTGTTCTTTCCTTTCAGGCCAATTTCCTTCTGAAATTTCCACAGGACAATTGTCAAGTTAGCTAACTAATTATCATGGTTATTACAAGCAATTGATATAAAACCCAAGCCAAATCTGAGCTGTCCAAGCCGTCCCTTACATATTCCCTCAGAGTTTTCACCTCCCCTTGGGACTATCTGGCTTTGTCACCAAAGGTAAGTAAATCACTCTCTTAATTAAACAAAAGCACAATCAATTTGTTGCTATTCCTTAAATCAGTTCTCTGCCCAATGTCTTGGGGCTTTTGTGCCTTTAGTTTATTTTAAATTTAATTAAGATGGTCAATTCCCTTATAGGCAACCATTTTTCTCCACAAAGTGGATAATTCTTCCAGCTTGCATCCCTTTTAGAACAAAGTACCGATCATGTAGTATATGACTTTGGAGTCAATAGCCTGGGCTAGTCCACATTAGGAGGCAAGGCACCTAATGGCAAGTGCACAGCCTATGCAGTCAGACAGATCAGAGTTGGAATTTTAGCCACGCTGCTAAAATTTTATCTGTTCTGTAATCCTGGAGGCTCAGCTTCCTCATAAGTAAAACAGGGAAAGGCCACCTACTACTCCTGGTCCTTATGAAGGTTAAAAAGGACCAGTTATGTGAAAGGACCCAACAAATGCTATGCCCAGTGGAGACCCTCCATCAGTGTTCACTGTCACCGTGTGTCTGCCTCCTCCAGCTCACCATGCATTCTATTGCTTTCCTGAAAGGCCTTATCTTCTTTGTCCACTGAAGCAGGGTCTGAGCAGTAAGCAACAATGTTCTCATCAATATGCCAGCTAAGGTTCTCATCTATCACACTGAAGAGCAGGAAGAAATCATTTTCCACATCCTGCCGCCGAGCAGTGGAATTGGCATCCAGGGTTCCTAGAACAAGTAAGAAAGGTGCCCTTGAGAACCTCCTTTCCTTAGCAACAGTAAGTTGCAAAGGGTATTTGTCAGAAAAGAATGGAAGAGAGGGAGCCTTAATAGTCTGTCAGCAACAGAAAGGCAGATAGAGCCTTCTGCTGCTATTTTCTGTTTCAAAACTCCCAGATAAAACCACAATTCAGTTGAGCCTAGGACTTGAAGATGGGGCACATAGGATCTTGAATAATTCCCTGCCACCATCCATGCCTATGTCTTCAACCCAGGGCCTTAACCTGACCACACTCCTGCAACACTTAGATCTTCAGACCCAGCTATACATTAAACATACCCTGTTTTGAACCAAGTCCACAATCCTCCCCAAATCCTGATGGCTACGCTTTCAATCCTATCCACACTTAAACTCTTACCACACAACTTACTTTTATGTGACTTGACTCCCATGATTACTAATTCAAGTTTTTAAGTGAAATAAGAAAGTAGAAAAGTTTTTCTTTTAAGAAAAAAAGGGTAATGAAATAATAGTTTAAAGGGAGTTTGGCAGGGTTTATTCCTGCTAATAAACAAGGGTGCTGTATTAATGCTCGTCAGGCTGCTGCTCAATATGCAGGTAGTTCAACCATACCGCTCCTTCACCTAGATATCCCAAATTGCATCTCACAGCTCACACTTGGGGCCAGTACCTCTTTTACAGGTGATAAGAGGTCCAATCAGGCCAGTTGCAATATCTCGTGGAGCATCTACATGAGAATGGTAAATCCAGGTGAGGCATGCTGGGTCAGCATCAGTGGGTGCATGGCCTTCTGGAATGGTCCAGTTGTAGATGTGGCTGCCTCCCGGGGGAACAGAATCATCAGCTTTCAACTGACCAGAGGAGCCGTCTGGGTATAGGGAGCCTAAAAAATGAAATTGCACATGCTTAGTCCCAGGGTGAGTGAGAGAGAATATGGAAGATGTATAAGCCAAGAGAGGGCTGACATATGGGACACCGAGGTCCAGTCTTATAGAAGGTAGAGTTCTAAGGTCAAATATAGTGTTTCTCACAGCCTGAAGAGGGCACAGATTCAGGTAATATCTAATCAAAGAACCTTATACCTCACATCAACAATGGGTGGATAGGTGGCGGCCATTGGGTAAGGAGCTGTGGCCATGGAAAGTGCTGCACCATCCAGTAGTGCCCTAGTGTAAAGCTGGTGGCATGGAGGCAAGGGAGAAGACAGAATTTCCTCCCTTCAAGCACTCACTTTGGAAAACAGAAAGCAGACAATCACAAAATTTCAGTCTAAAGGAAACTTAATACTCAATTGGTCCACTTTCCCGTTTTATGGAAAACTGAGGAAAAGTAACTTGTCCAAGGTCATATAGGAAACTAGTAGCCAACTCAGGATGTTCTGACTTCCCTCTCTGTTCTCCTCACTCACTGTTGTGTCATTATTATAGACCATTGAGCCTGGGATAGTGGGAGATACAGTGGAGTAAACTGAACTCTCTCTTAACAAAAAAAAAAAATGGACCTTTTGGAAGACTGTGACACTAGACTAATTGTCCCTTACATTCACAGCACACTCTTCTTTTTCCAAAGCACAAATATGTTATCAAAATGCCATTTGAGTAATTCTTTGTGATAAAAGGCAGATTGAATCTCCACATTCTTAATGAAGAATCTGATGCCCAGAGAGGGGCAGTGATTTACCCAAAGTCACACAGTATATGAATAGCAGAACTGGTAACAGTACCCAGCCATGCTTTTCTGAGGAGAGTCCCTGACACCCCAGATCATAAGGATGAAAAAACTATCCTTGTTCCCAGCGCCTCTCTCTCAGATGGCTATGAATGGAAAGTGATATTTGTTGCAGGCAGGAGAAAGAAACAGTGGGCTGATTTACCTTCTGAGTCCTTCTCATAGAAAACACCATGGGGGTGGATGGTGTAGGGACGAGTGGCAAAATTCTTCAGGTGAATAAGGAGGACATCTCCCACCTCAGCCTGCAACACTGGCCCCAAGAAGCCCAACCAAGCAGGCTGGGTCATTTCATCCATATATGAGCCATCCTTGTATTCCTTGTAGATGGTCTTCTTGTAGCTGCTCCCTATCCGGTTCTTGTCAGGCTTTAGGAAGCTGGAAGCTACTCTGGGAAGGAACGAAAGAGAGAGTTATAATTTTGCCACAATCTTCAAACCTCTGGAGAGTTCCTTTCCAGAGGAGGCCAACCAAAATCATCCATTTTTGTTTAGAGCAAAGCAAGAGGAAATGGGATGTACTAATCAAAACATGAAAGCATTAGATTAGAGTCTAACTGTCAAACAATGGGAAGTATTAAGTTAAAGCGTATGAAATTGCTAATATTTGACCACTTTTAAACTACATAAAAGGCAGTTTCATCCGGTTCAACCAGATATATAGTAATAGGGAGACAACCAACTATGGACTGACTCTTTTTAAGTGATCAACTCCCTGTTCGTGTGGCCTGACTTAGTGCTGTCCTGATATATATGGGTGGTATTATAGCTTAGTGGTTAAGAACACAAGCTCTGGAACCAGGATGGTTTAAGTGCCAACATTGCCACTTCCAAATCTGTAGGATTTTGAGCGAGTTACCTAAATTCTCTGTGCATAATTTCCCCATCTGTAAAACAGAGATAATCACCATAGCAAACTCAGACAGTTGTTACTGGTGACCAAAACAATTAAAATATATAAAGAGCTTAGGGCAGTGCCTGGAAAATGGTAAAAGTTTAATAAATGTTAACTATTACTTCAAAGTATTGGGGCTGAGGGATAACAAAGTTCTCCCTCTAGGACATTTTTAACACAAAGATTCCATGACTCCAAAACTAGATGGATAGGAAGATGGGTTTGTCAAAAAAAAAGAAAGCCAGCTGTTTTTCTTCCTCTAACTCTTCTAGAGAGCTCTGGGATTTTACAGTCAACTTTGGAAAACTTTGAGGCTTTGGAGAGACAAAGTTATTCATGACCACAAAAGATTCTTTAATACATCCATTATTTTTTTCAACAGATGTTTGTGGAGCACTTGCAAGGGTCTAAGATCAAGAAAGATTAATCTTGTGGGATCTGTGAGAGGCATAACGGTGAGAAGAGTACCAGATTTGCATCCACTTTGCCCAGCTTCAAATCCTAGCTCTTTCATTTACTAGCTGTGGGACTTGGGCAAGTCACTTGATCTCATTGAGCCTCAGTTTTCTCATCTATAAGAGGAGATTCATACTCACCTCCTAGAGATTTTGTAAGAATTAGGTGAGATGAAGTATGTACATTTCTAGTATGGTGCCTGTCACAGACAGAGTGTTACATAAGTGATTGCTATCACTGCTATTTGTTTGATTCCAAGGCTTACTTTATTTTTTCACATTTTCACATATCCGAAATCAGTATAGGTCCACGGAACTACCGGGCATAGTTCTACCACACGCATCTTGCAAACACTGTATATGTGTCACTCTTTTTTTAAAAGCTAAACAGTTATTATTAAAACAGCATGTGAATATCATCTTAGAGGCAAGGGAATATAGAATTACCTTTAGGACTCTGAAAATGCTGAGGCACCTCACCATTGGAAAGCAAACTCCATATTGGATACTGGCTCCTGAATCAACTAGCCCTCTTCTCAGGAAATGTGCCACTGCGTGTATGGCCCAGAGGGGTCAGGAACTGGCTGCTACCACACGCTGGGAGAAGGTACTCAAGAGGCTACCTCATGACCTCAAGAGTCTCCCACACAAATTCAACTCTAATTTCATAAGAGATTAAACCTACGTGTCACTGTCGAGAGGCTGATTCGTGATGGCATTCCTTCCCTTGGGAGCATAGTTCCACTGCACATCCTGGATACCTAGGTAGTAGACTCGAGTTGCCCCCTCAGTCAGTTGCGGCCACAAGGGTTGCATGAACAGCAGAGTCCAGAGGAGGTGGCCTGACTCCATGCCCCACATTACTCTGGGAAACAGGCAAATGAATAGCTTCTGGTATGGAAGAAAGAGAACAAAAGGTCTTTGCACATGTCTGCAAAACTAAAGAGGCAAGAACCAGACCCATAGACTGTGAAAGCAGAAACCAATTAGCCCAGAATCTCTACCTTACCTGATTCCTTTCAGTTCAACAAACGTTCGATGATTTCTATACATTGGACTTTGGAGAGCAATGTTAAAAATTACTTGTACTGGTAATTATGTATCACTTCTTTCAGAAGAGAAATCTGGATCCAGTTCCTTCAGCAGTGTCGAAGGAAGAATGTATTCTGGCTCAAGAATCAAGAAACAGGCACCAGAAGCCTGATTGGGTCACTGACTCACTCGATACCTGAATTAAATCACTAACTCTCCCTGCACCTCTGTTTTCATTGTTGCCACTCTTCATCCAACTCTTTGTATTGTGTTTAAAAACAAATGAGAATTCACCAAAAGACATTTACTAGACTGTTCATAGACCCAGAAAGAAAACAGCCAACATGTCCATGAACACTAGAATGAATAAATTGTATTTTATCTATACAATAGATTCTATTTGACAAGCATAATGAAGAAACTACAATTACACATGCAAATATGGATGCCTGTCACAAATGTAACGTTGCAGAAAGAAACCATACACAAAAGAGTACATCCTGTATGATTTCATTTATATAAAGTACAAAATCAGACAAAACTAATATACGCTATTATAAGCCAGGATGGTGTTTACCTTTGAGATAGGGATCAATGACTGAGAAGGGAAGAGGAGGAAGGCTTCTAGGTAGTGTTCTGTTTCTTGACCTACATACTGGTTACACAGATGTGTTCAGTTTGTGAAAATACATTGAGCTATGAACTTAGCATCTGTGTGCTTTTCTGTATGTTTGTTATACTTCAAAAGGAGTGAAAATTGAAACAAAACAAATGAGAATATATGAGGGAAATATGATTAACTTCTCAGCAGTAATGTTTTCTGCTGGATCTCTGCTATGCACAAATCCAATTCATGGGTCCGATCCTGAGTTAGAGTCAGAACTGAACCTCCATTCCTCTCATTCAGCCAGGAGGTTAGATTCCTGGGGCTGGAATGAAGCACTCAGTCATACCACATACAGCTACAGTAAAACCCAGAAACACAAACAATATAACATAAACACACATATACACGCACTCACATCCACATAGGTGCATGCAGTCTTATCTAAAAGCAGAGATGCACACACTTGCATCCATACACAGAACCACACTTAGAGACTTTCAGAATAACAATAATAATACATCAATATTCATTGTGTGTGCACAGTATGCCAAAAAGTTTTCTGTGTTTTACGTAGATTAAATAATTTAATCCTCACAATGACACTATGAAGCAGATGCAATTATTATCCCCATATTATAGGAGAAACTGCAGAACAGAGGTGTAAAGTAATTTGCCCAAGGACATCTAGGTAACAATCAGTAGAGTTCGGCTATGAGCCCAAAAAGTATGCCTTCAGTGTCTATGTTCTTAATCACCACACTATACAACCTTCCGCAAAACATACTTGCAGGCTCACATGTATATACACAGAAAACGTGCCTTAGAACCCTCAACAGGGAGAGAGTGTCCTTGGTTCAATGGAAGTCTGAATGCATCACGGACCTCCTTCAACCTTTCTTCTCATAGAGGTGCCAGCAAGGCCATTGTGTCTTACAGTCACTTACTTAGAGAGAAAACAGACCCAGGTAAGAGTTTTATAATTGGAAAAACCAATGGTAAACTTGGAAATATTCCCAGCCAGGAGAAACTGGTGCCAACCTTCAGCACAAAATGAACAAGTATTCAAAGTGGTGACTGATGCCCAAAAGGGCTAGACAGTAGGATCTGGGAAAAAAATTATACCTAGCACTTTCCACTTTACAGTATGTTTTTCATATCTGCCATCTTATTTAATTCTCAAACTCTTGTGATATAAGGATTGTTTTCCCCAGTTTGCATGCAGGGCACAAGCTTGAGAATCAGATTCACTAAATGAATCCTGGCTCCACTTTTCCTAGCTGTGTAACTTTATAAAATGCTTCACTTGGCTAGCTATAGTGGTTTTATCTTTGAAATGGAATTAATACTATTAACTACATCTCAGAGTAGTTGTGAGTATTAAATGAATTAAGATCTTTAAGTACATAGAATACAAATAAGTGCACAAGTACATAATCAGAAAGTATTAGTGGTTATTATGATTACAGATGATGAGATAGATTTAGAAATGAAACAGAACTTTAACATTTTATGGATAGCTACAACATGCACACACTCATAAGTTCCTGTATACAGTAATACACACTAAGCACGCAGGCATATGTATATGACTGAGATTAGTCTCCTTGGAAGAAACATTATATAATGAAAGGAACCAGAACTTTTGAGTCAGATAAACTTAGGTTTGAGTACTGTTTTCAGCTGTGTTAGAATGAGATAGCATTAGGGACCTAGTAGGCACCTGATAAGTACTAGTTTTCTTTCCTTCTAATCACTGACAATTTTTTTCTTCCCAAAGCTATATTTGTTGTTACTATTGTTGTAATTATTTTTAGTTAGGTTTTATCATAGACTGAAAGAACAAAAGAGAGGGAAAACCCATAAAACTTCTTTAGAATCATTTGGATATTTCATGGTAAAATTGACAGACTTCAGACCCTGGGAAAAATAGGTTCTAGTATTGGATTCATCATTTTTTAGTCATATGACATCCCGCAAGTCCCCTAATTTCCTGACTCTCAGTTTCCTTTTCTCTTAAATGGAGATAATCTCTGCTTTGGGATCCTCATTAGTTTGCTATGAAGATCAAATGAAATGAAGGATGTGAAAGTCTTATGTCGACTTTTCACTTGAGCAGGGCTATTTTCTCTCAGCTGAGCCCACGGGAGGAAGTTTTAGAGAAAGGTCAGACTGATGAGGTAAAATAAAATGGAAAGATAAAAAGGGAAATGAAATAGGTAAAATGAGCAAGAGTCCTGGGAGAAAGTAAAAAAGGAGGGCAGAAGGAAGAGGCACTCAAAAGAGGGGGAAGAGAGAGAGAGAGAGCAAGAGAGAGAGAGAGATTGACTGAGAGAGAGAATTTCTGGGCTACTTGGAATTATACACAATTTAGTTAATACACATTGAGACTAGCCCAGGGAGAAGGTCAGATAACATCAAGTCAAGCCTCCCCTACCTTTACCTTACCTTACTGACATCCCAGTGTCACCTGGGCCTGGTCTCCATCATCTCTAACAATTTGCATCACTGTTTTTCCTGGAACTTACAAGTTGTTTCTTTAATGTGACAGTGCTTTCTTCTCACCCTCCATCTCTCTTTCTGAGTTGGATTAGACTGAGCTGGACTGGCTTATCCTGGACAAAGTATCACTCAACTGAACACAGGAATACTGAGCTATCCTTGGGGTGTCTCCAATCTCAGCAGCCTTCCTAATAGAAATCTCCTTCAAGGTTGACCTTTTGGTCCTCTGCTTTCTTAATGTTTTGTGACTCTTTCTTCACCCTGTGACTCAAAATAGGTCCCAGATAGAGATTTTCTCACCTTTGGTGGGTATAGGCCTTTTTTGCTGAGAGGGAAAATAAAGAGGGTGTTGAAAGCCTTAAAGGGTTCCAGATAGTACAAGGACAATTTATATTATTCTTTAACCATTATCATATATCTCAGCATGTCAGAGGTAGGGAAATCAAGGCCCAGCGAGGAAGGAACTCACCTGAAGTCCTGAGAGCTAGTACCAGAACCTAAGGCTCCTGATCCCCCAGCCTGACAATCATGTCCATCATATCATTGCCATACCAGTCCTGGGACAATATGGTTTATCCACATAACTTGCATTTGTATTAAGGAGGCTGTTTTACTTCTTCACACCCAAGTTGTGGTATCATAGAAACCAGACTTATTTGAAATTAGAAGACCTGGATTCAAATCCTGTATCTTGCCTGTAATAGCTGTGTGACATTTCAAAGTCGCTTTTACCTATTTGAACCTCAGTTTTCTCACCCAAAAATCAGGATGATATTTATCTCACAGAATTGTTTTGAGGTTCAAACAGAATAATCAAAATATGAGCCTCCAGCAAAAGGCTTGGGATACAATAGATGCTCAGTAAAAAACTAAATACCTTATAGATTCGTACATTCATAAAGACCTTTAGAAACCATCTTTTTAAATCCTTGATGTAACACATAGAAAACAGAGGCCGCATAGGTGAAGGAATTTGTCAAAGCCAAGCAGCAGTTGCTGGCAAAGCCAGAATTTGAAACCATGTTTTCTAAAATATTTCTGCCATTTAGACAGTAAGTGTGAAAAATAATTTCGACTTTAAGCTGCTGGCTTAGTTCAGCTATCATTTATTGGCTTAATCTCTGCCAATCTGGATCTCAAAATATGAAACCAAGTGGTTGTTTTTAAGTGTTTGAGCCTTCCATTTATGTAGTCTTCAGATCAACCACCTCAATAAATCCCTCAACCTGTGAGACAGAAGATGAGCACACTATTTCAACAGGAAATTTAACTACTCTCTACAATGTCAGGATTGTCCCCTGAAACAGTCAAGCCAGTGTGGTCCTGGCCATTTTGGAGAGAAGAACAAAAGGAACATTGTCCACTTTAACTTCTCTGCACACCCAGCCAAGTTTCCTCTAACTTCTCAGCCACTGATTTTATCACCCAGTCACCAAGGACTCACCTAAACCCAACTGAATAAAGGATTTTGCAAAGAAAGGGAGATGTGATAGGGTTTGGAAAGAGAGGAAAGAAAGCTTACCTTCGCTAGAGAAAACCTTTCCATATTCATGTCAGCAACCTAGTGATGCTGAGCTGCAGACCCCAGCATGAGTCTGCTAGTCCTGCTCAGTCAGTATCCTGAGTTACAGGGCTTTTCTTTTAAATTAAGTCAGGGACTCCAATCTGGCTGATGTTACTGGGGTGGGGTGAATGCAGGAGGGGGAAATGCGGG